ATAATATAAAAATAATAATTTGAAAGAACAGTGTGAAACTGAAGAAATATCAAGAATTCATTGTGGATGAAAGGAGAATAAAGTACGTATTCCTTAGATCTTATTGCTGTGACAAGATGGGGGAGGAAGGGAACAACCACACTACTTGAGTGAACTTCCCTAATTTTTTTTTGTTAAGATGAAAAGAAAATAAAATTCTATCCTAACATGAATAGAAAGGCTCCCTTCAATTTCTGTAAGTGATGCAGCAAAAACAGCCTTATAGCTACTTTTAACTCAACTATGCAGCTTTTTGGAAATGAAAAAAATAAATAAGACCTATTCTGTGCAACAGAGAAAATGAGATGATTCATATGTTATTAAATTAATACTTCTCATTATACAAAGAGACCCAAAATTTACAGCAAAAGAATAGAGAACAAACAAACTCCCACAAATGTTTAATTGTGTTTAAAATGTCACAGAATAATTTGTTTTGTTCCATCGAAGCTTCCTATCAAATTTATTCTCACATCCAAAGCTTGAAGAGCCAAAGCTTTCAAACCATTGAACCTAGAAACAAACTTAATTAACTGTTTCTTCTGTTATTTTCTGCAGGCCCAAGTTAGAATAATAGAATAAGGCCTTTTCTTTTATCTCATCTAAAAAAAGCATACTGATGGAAACCAGTCCCATCAAGAATGATTTTTTGTCCCAAACTATTGAGTTGAAAGGTTTGAAGAATGTCAACAGTTGCAAAATGTTTAATACTGTGATTTTAAATCATTAGAGGGTTAATGAGACAAATCACTTAGTTTACCAGTTGTATACCAACTGTACAAAGGAAATTTCTCTCAGAGGGACCACTGCAAAGCTGACATGTGAACGTGCTTGTGAATGCTGACCATCACTGTGAGAGGTATCTCCCAAAAACACTCAGGAATTTTTGGAAGAAGATGGCAGAGAGGATGAGCAGAGTTGTTAATGAATTGGAAATGCATTGAGGGTACATCCTGCAAAACGAAACAATGACAGGTTGTGCCAACAGCCTAATGAAATCATAAGAAATCTTCATCTGGCATGTAAGAACACTAAAAATAGCCTGACCTTATTTAGGGATCTATCAGGTTATCAGTTGTGGCTAGTAATTACAGAAAAAAAACCCCATTTTGAGTCACCAAAATTTGAAAATCCATGCTTATTCCAGTGCCTAATTTTGGAAATAATTTCTATATGGTATAAAATTTATTTATTATTTTGTTATGGTAAATGCAATGAAAATTACTGCTATTTAAGAAAAAAATTAATAAAACAAAAATTTATTTTATTTTTTAAGCAGCACTTTCTTTTTTTGTACAAACACATGAGTGGACAGCATTAACTAGTTATCATGAAAAGTATCTTAGAAAATCCCAACAATCAGAAATCAAAACTAATATGTCAAAAATTTTCTTGAGACATAGCATTTGCTTATGTATTCCCCTGCCTTTTAATTCTATTCAACAAGTTGACTTAGAAACGGTGCTCACATTTGTGGAAGGCAAACTCAATCAAAAGAATTCAACGACAACTACATAAGACTAGAGAAAAGCAGAGTATAAAAAAAAAAAAGTAAACATTAGAACCATGACCCAATTAGTAGGATCTGAAAAATTCTTGTTCTCCCCATCCAGTCTTCCTGGACTCCAAGTGTACTTTGGCAATGAGAGCTGAAAATCAGGGGTGAATAGCAGGAATCTAAGATCACTATAGCCCCAAGGAACAGCACTTCTGGGCATTTAAACACTCCACAGTTCTGAGAGAGGATCAGCATCTTACATCAAGGCTCCTTTTAGCTTTGGACAGAAAATACAATAATTTAACTTGGATTCTCTGATCCATAAAGTAATTTTTTCTCAGAGTGTTAGAAGTTTATTTTATGGCAACTAAAAATCAGTAGCACCTTTCAGAAGTGCAAATACCTAGCTAGTTAACTTTAAGGATACTTAAACATTCACTAAAGATGTTCCTAGGCACTTAGAGTCTTCCCCCATGCATGTCTGGAAGTTCTAACAATGCTGAAAATGCAGCTGTTTGACACATGCTCAAGTTTCAAAATCGTAATTAAATCTAGCTTTCTGTTATCTCTCTGAACTGACCTCATCCAGGAAAAATATTTTAGGGCACATCTGCTAAGTTATATTTCCTGTAAAATAAATCATATGATGATGGCTGCACTATCATACACTTAACTCATCTAGTTTGGAAGATTTGTCTCTGTATTTCCAAATATTTCAAAGAGAGACCAAACTCCCCTAACACCCCATTATGTTATAGGCTGTATTACAGGATGCACACAATTCTATAGGCTGGTTTTGCTGGGATGCGGTTTGTATGGGGTTTTGCTGGGATGCGGTTTATTCTCCATAGTAGTCTACGTGGAGCAATAATTCACTGTGTGGCTGAAACAATGTTGATAACACACCAGCATTTTGGTTATTGGTGAAGAGAGCTTGCACAGCATCAAGGCTTTTTTCTCCTTTCAATTTTACCCTTCCTGTCTCAGTAGCACATTGGCTGGTGGCGGGTACAGGGTTTGGAGGGGATCTAGCCAGGAGAGATGACCCCACATGACCAAATGAATATTCCATATCACATGGTGTTCTGCAGTAAAAGCTCAGAGAAAGGAGGAGCAAGTGAGAACATTCATGGTTACGATATTTGTCTTCCCAAATAACTGCTACACCTGATGAAGCCTTGCCTTCCTTGCTAAACATCTGCCTGCTGATGGGAAGCAGTGAATGAATTTCATATTTTGCTTTACCTTGCTTTTCCTATTTAACTCATTATCTTCTGCTTTTATATCTCCTGTTTTCTTCCTTACCCACAGCAGAGAGGAGTGAGAAGATTGTTTGGCTATTGGCCAGAGCCAATCCACTACATGCTGTCCCTAAATAAGTATTGGGAAGGATCCCTGGACCAGGAGGGGATGCACACGGAAGCAAATGTGGATCTAGCCCAGTGACTACAGCATCACCCTTGCAGAGGAAATAAAATGAAAACAAACCAAATTAAACTGCATTACTCCTGAGAGCAAGAAAGAAAACATAGGTCTCCCAACCCATTCCCTCGAATATTAGTTTGGAGGAAGAGGTCATTTGTTCATGGCTTGTTTTTGTGTCTCATTTTAGAGAAAGTTCAAGCATACAAATCATGAGCAGAAGGAAATGCCTATTGGTAAAGCAGAGACCCCAGGTTCTGTGAGGCACTGCAGTGGCCTGGGCTCAGCAGACCAGGTGACCTGGGCTCAGGTCAAGGTCAAGTGCTTCTTAGTGACTAGCGTTAAATATGTCCCCCTGTGGTGGTGCTGCTGTGTCCCATATATAGGAGAAATAACTCTTCTCAGGCCAGGAAGAGCAAGGTGACTAATGCAGAGTTGTCCATTTCTACAGCAAGCACCTTCTGTTTATTTATCCAGTTCACATCGTGTTAGAGACTGAAACAGCCCACAGGCTCTTCTCAGCCTACTGTTAACATTTTTCTTGACTGTGTTTGGCCATTTGTTCTTTATTATTTAAGAGAAAGGAACTCTAGTACAAAAGTGGCATAAAAGTGTGTAAGTACTGATAGGATGTGTTAAGGGAATAAATCATATTGATTGAGCATCTTGTCACCAGTGTAATTGCATCTGTATTTAGGAATTCTAACACTGTAGCTGCAGAGGATCCTGGGCACAGGTCCAGTGCTGAAAATGAGAACCGGGGCTCACAGAGTCCCTTCTGGAAGGCTAGAGAACACTAAGTATAAAATGTCTCATCAAAATATGGGAGAAAAGCCAGACAGACCTATTGAAAGTGAGACCATAGCAGATGGTTTTGATGTTAGGATGGAAAACTGAGACAGAAATTATATGAAGCCTTTTAAAAAAGCTGCATGCAAATGAACAGAGAAATTCTATTTAACTTTTTCACCCTTCCCAATAGTTCATATTCCCATCAAGGGACTTAATTCTCTTCTGCTTTAGAGCACTGTCATTCTTCTAAATTGCTCTTGGCTGTGATCTTTACCTGTGCTATGCACCATAATTTCTAAGTTTTATGAATTGTCAATAACAAACTGGACAGGACAACCCCTATTAAACTTCCTCATCAACAGCCTTCTGAAAGACAGAACCCTGCTACATGATTGGTGTAGGTAGATAAATAATTAGGCTTATGCATTGGTATCATAAGAAACAGATGTGGACAAAACACGACAGATGAGACACATTAATTAGGAGCTACAAAGAGAGAACTAAAATGATGCAAGAGGAAAGATTAGGTACTGGCTGGCTAGCTTTGTACTACTTGTTTTTCTTTCCTCCAATCATTTAAGCCTGTTACTCTCTCTGTGAGGTGTTTGCTTTGTGTTTTTCTATGCCCTTTATCTTCAACTATAGTTGATTTTACAGTCTAAACAACAATAATATCAAATGTTTGTAGAAAATCTGGATTTAAAAAAATCTAATTAAAACATGTATTTATTTTAGGATAATCTGTTTCCTAGAAGTCATAAAAAAGAAGAGACATTAATAGGAAAATATTAAGTCAATTAGTTAGAGCTGTTATTTATCAATAAGCAATTTCCATTTACAAAAAAAGGACAGAAAGACCAATGAAGGAAGGGATATTGCACCATTTTAAGATACACTGTGCATCCAGATATCGTTCTATTACTCTAGCAGAGTGTGCGTGGCTCTAAAATAAAATACTCATGTCACTGGTAAGGATGACAGCCTTAATGAAATAATTTTCCTTTTTTTCAAAGAAAGGCTAGTTTTAGTAAACAAACTACAAATTATGTGTATATAATATGTTATGATTCACCTGAGTGCAATGGCCATTCTCCATTTATTTTCTTAGAAACTAATTTACTGTGTAACTATAAAAGAATTATTAATTGGAAGATTTGTTTCTAAGATAACTTCTATGCAACACCAAACAGAATTTCTGTGCGAAAATAAACAATTCTACATATTTATAAAAAAACTTCTTAATACTTACATAAGGAATTGTGTCCAAAGTGTCTGTGTTGACAATTATAGGGGCAGGGCTTGCCTGAAAGGGGAAAAAAAGAGAAAATAAATTTAAAGACCTGAAATTCATTAATATTGAAATACCCATGCTTATACATTAAGTTAAATGTCTGAAAGCCCATTTTCCCATTGAATTCAAATCATACAACACTACATAACTCTGGCTACTGCTCAGTCAAGGATGAAGGAAATAGATTCTCAGCCTCCAAACCACAGCTCACTGTGGCCTTTCTTTTTAGTTTCTCCAGGCTTTGGACCACATCCTGAATACATACCATCAAGTTGTTCATTTTTTTTTTTTTTTGTAGAAATGTAAGAAACCTGATGTATTCAACTCAATTAGAGAATATTGAGGTTGAGGGTTTCAGCTTCCCTACCTGACAAATCCACCTTTTGTGTTTGAAACAAGATGATTAACTGATCTTTACAGAGAGGAAACATGTGATACTTACATTACTTAGCAGTACTGCATAGGTATATGTATAAGCACATATATGGTAACATTTATGTCATAGGTATATAATTGGCATAGTTCATATACACTCAGTTGAGGTTCAGATTGAAATACAGACCGGTTTAAAAAGATTTGAGCATCTGCAAAGTTGCCCAACCTGATCTTTAATTTCTTGATGAAGCTCATATCCAGGCTAGTTTCCAACCACCTGAACCTCTTGCTCTTCCCATTCTGGTATTCAGTGGTATTGACCCAATGCCAAGCTCTGCTATGACCCAGCATAAACCTAGCTCAGACTCTGGAGAAAACCAAGGAGTTGTGAGAATGCATAAGCCAGAGGCAAGCACCGTCAGTAAAATGTCAAACTGAGGCAGGACTGCCAAGATGGGATTGTTAACAAATCAAGAACTCAGAAGGAGAAACATGTAGTCAGTGTAGTACAAAAAGCGATGGAAGGCACCCCTTCTCATGCCTACTTGGGCAGCAAAGACTCTTCAGTCACTGTACTGGGCTGATGAAAATACTAATGCTTAGCACAGCAGCTCACTAGTTCTATTCATCTGCACTGTGTATTTGTCACTGAATGACTGCACTTTAAACTCCTACAGACTGCAGGGTCTCTTTGTGCATGGTAGGCATGAACTCAGCACTGCTGAAAACACTGATCCTATTTCTGTCAGCAAATATTTACTGTGGGATTTCAAACCTTTGCTTGTTACCAACCCAAATTAGGAATGTGACATTACTTCAGTAATTCAAATAACATGATAATAACACAGTTTGGGGGTTTTTTCCCCCAGTTTTTGTGCAGTTATTCAAGGATAATTCTGTGTTCAAAGAAATTTTATGTTACTGGACAAAAGCTACTGCTGATTAATGCCATAATTTCTATACAACTGTCTAAGCCATGAATTAAAATTAAATGCATACAATTTGGTGTGTCTGCATTTCATGGTATGGGCCAGTGTAATAGTAAGGTATTATTTGATATTAAAATGCTTAGTATCTGAAAAGATATTATATACCTGTTATTCTCATTGTGTCCCAAAACACTGGACACACTGAAGTGATAGGTAAAAGCTGAAGGCCATATGATTATAATACTTGTAGCTTTAGGCATTTAGAATATGCCTATAGTTGCATAATCATTGAAGGTAAAACAAATTTTAATAATAATACTAATATTTAGCTCAATACACTTAAGTGCTACCTTTGCTACAGGAAGAATAAGCTTGGCAATTTTTTACAGTATTGATTTTATCTCCTTTTTATTTTTACTACTGTGTTGGTTGGTCTATTACCAACTATAAAAAAAAGACTGCAGTTTTCAGAATAAAAGCATCTTTCCACTTATGATTTAAAAAAACAGTATCTACTAAAATAACAAAAAACTTTCAGAAGTCATTTTACAAAGCATTCACCCAAATCTCTTTAACCTATTGAAGAACAAAGCCTTTTACCTATATCAGATTTTCCTGAAGCAAAGCTAGAGAAATCAGAAACAAATGTGGGAACACTTGGGACTGGACAGAGTATTCCTGGTGCAGTGTGACAAGGGGATGAGATGTCCCTCACCCTGCTGCCCAGGCTGATAGTGCATCCCAATTTGCCATTCCCCCTCACTGCTGCAATGGCTGACTCACGTGCAACTTGTTCTCCTCTCTACAAAGCTGCAGCTTAGCCACACTGTGCCTGGCTGGGACTGCTCCATGTTTTATCCTGTCATGAGGAACTCCTGTATGTTTTCATTGAACTTTGTGAGGTTCCTCTCAGCACATTTCTCCTTCTCCTATATTCCTCTGAAGAGCAGGAACAGTCCAGTGTATAATCTATTCTTCCCAGTCTGGTGCTGCCTCAAACCTTTCTGACAATGCTCTCCATATAATCATTCTGGTTTTTAATGAAGATGTTAAACAACATTAGCACCTCTATCAACTGTATGAGCACCACAAGTAACTGAACTCTGAACTGCTGACCACTGCTCTTTGGGTCTACTGCCCTAGCCAATGTCCCACTCATCTTCTAGTAAACCCATCCATTTAGTTTCTCTCTCATTTGGTTATGAAAGAGAATTTGTGCTGAAAACCTTGCTAAAATTCAGGCAAATGATGTCCACTGATCTTCCCTCCTCCACAAAGCTAGCAGATTTCTCATCACAGAAAGATGGTAGGTTTAAAAGGTAGAATCCAAACATTTGTAAATTGACCTCCCTCCTTTTAACCACCTCCCTCTGATCTTCACGAGCCTTGACAAAATGTTCTGGATGCCCAGACCATGGACATTCACCACGATGCTTCCATTTGTTAGCTTTCTAATCCTGATCCCTGGGTTATCACTTGGTCCATCACCCCTTCCACAGGAAAAGTCGGAGCATTGAAAGCTGCTCCTTTGCATCCTTTGCAAAGGATGATGTGATCCTTTCTAGACTGGCCCTGCTGCAGAGCCTGTAAAGAATTAATTTTCAGGCCAGTGGATCACTCAGGGTTCATTTCAACAGTGTGCTTACTGTGCTCTTTACTGATTGGAAAGACTACACTGAACTATCAAACAGATGATTTTCTGATGATTTATCCTCTTCAGACAGATGGGCATGAAAAAAGGCACAGCACAATAGTTTCAGATGGATATAGTGACTACAAGCACTCACAACTAATATCATCAGTGCATTCACTTCTCTGTTCCTCCTGTTCATATGTGGGCATGTGATTCTGTGTGTGTGTGTGGGACACTGCTTCTTGTTACAACATGTAATAAGAAATATGATTTAACGGAAACATTTTGCTCCCATCTCTCTGCTATACGGTGATTTGAAGAACACTAAACTCCTGAGCTGCAAAATTGCATTAAATAGCAGGAAATTGAGATTATTTCATTAGCTGGGCCCTGTTTGTAGCTCATGCTTTCAAGTAGGAGACTTCAATCATGCAAAGTTGAGAAGACAGTTTCCAATCGCTGGAGAGAGCCCTAAATATAGCACTAGCCATGGAGTAGTCAACAGAATCAAAACAGTCCTGTAACCACAGTGAAATTACTGAAGACATAAGATCAGTATCAACAACGAGTTAAAGATTTTACTTTCCAGAATGATGTGTCTACATCTATGAAAACATGACTTGAAAACATGTCACACTGGTTCACCAAATTCTCAAAAAAGATACTCTGATATCTCTGTGCTTCCAATAGAGAACATTGACAAATCTATGAACCAGGATTCAGCAACAGTACTCCCAGCTGTGCATAAATTAACAAAGGCATGCAGAAACATGTCTAGATTCTCTTGAGAACCTCTGACTAGAGTGTTTTTGAGATAGCACTGCCTCTTACCTCTCAATCTGTATACCCACACAAATCTATATAGTCTTTATCTAGGCTTCAGACTGGTTGAGAAGAAATAGCTTTCTCAAAGATAACAACTTTATTCCTAACTCTGTGCTTTGACCTCCTCCGCCATCTTGACCAAGACACTGAATTACATTTTACCAAGTAGCTTTTCCCAGATGCAAAATAAATCCAAACCAATCACCAGAAGTGTGAATATTACTGAGTGCAGTGAATTGAGTAATCCTGTTTTCCCCATTCCCCACTAACTTTCCTCTCCATCCCAATCCCTACCTATACATTAAGTATTATACTAAGCTGACAATGTACTGTGCAGTCAGACTTACAGCTCCTGCTCCCTGCATGAACCTTCCTCCTACCCTTGACTGGAAGCACTGCTTTCAGCTGAGCCAACTCTGTGCTTTGAAAGAAGGCATCACACTGACAGCTGCAGTGAAAGACTGCATAGCTGAGACAAAACTTGAATAGCTTTTGGAAAAAAAAAAAAAGAAATGGAAGATTTTTTTTTTTTATTCTTCTTAAAGGACTTCAGCATAAAACACTTTGCTTCCACAAATATATACAAGATTGTTCTGCTTGCTTTTCTGCCAAAAGCACAACTCAGAAGGCAAGACAGAGGAAAAGCACTTGAAGCCAGTAGAAACAGGACAAAAAGGCACACGGTCTAGTTCATGAACTCTGCTGCCAAATTCTCTACAAGTGTATGACATGACGCATACCTCCCAGAAAAGGTGAACTTGCCCTCTACCATGAATGCTAGCATTATCCTGGTTGACTGGTTTTAATCATACTACTCACAGTTTTAGAGACTATCCATGTCATACTGGGCTGTTTTCTCCAGCATTCGTAAATCCTTGTTTTAACTGTTCCTACTATGCAGGACTATATTCAACACCAGACCACAAAATCACAAACAAAGTTATGTGGCCACTGCCTTATAAATCATAAGCACAGCACATTACTTCTTAAAAAGAAAACACAACCAAGTATGTCATCATTTTGAAATTGCCCACCTATGCTTATTTCTAGCTGCAATTTCAATTTCATACAACCAATAAGATTGGACCTCTATGGTCAAGTCCAACCAATAATCTATCACTGCCAGGTCCACCATGTCCCTAAGCACCCCACCTAATGGGTTTTTGAACATTTCCAGGCACAGTGATTCCACTGCTTTCCTGGGCAGCCTGTTCCAAGGCTTGATCACCCTTTCAGCAAAGACTTTTTTC